AACATTGTTTATAGAAGCACAATTACCTTAGTGATGGGTGTGGCCATGGCAGGAGCCATGAACAACAATGCCCTAACATCATTAGCTCAAATTTTCTACAAACTTTAGACCTTGGAATGCGGCAGGAAGAAGTGTAATCGCCTCGACAACGAGGGTTGCTATGCCTGATATCATGACCAACAATGCCCCATAATCATTAACTCAAATTGTCGGCAAGTGTCATATCTCAAACTGTGGCCGAAGCTAGCAATGATTATCTCAATGGTGAGGGTGCCAACACCAGGCATCATGACCAACAATGCATCAAGCAATCCATAACAAGTGCTGCTGGTAGCGATGCCTAGTGTCGTCACCAGTGTCGTTGGCCATCCGACACCCCTAACTCCACGTCACTGCTCGAATGATATTGTTTCATTAATGGAGGGGTAACTCATTACACAATTTGTAATGATGCTCACCCACGTTAGAACTAACGACTCAATTTTGAATGATTGATTGGCGCCAGGCTTTGGTGTTGATGGTAGCAACACCAAGGTGGCCACCAATGGTGCTGGAAATGGATGGCCCAAATTGAATCATGGTTTTGTAACAATGTTGGATAGAACCTTGTCTATAATTAGAGTTTCACCCCACATTTTGGTATCTTGAAAATCCCGAATTGGAGCTGAAACTCTGCCGCACCCAATACCGCCCCTGAGCCCCAAATCCCAGTATACTAAACCCTTGATCCTAATGTTTATGAATCATAATCCCAACAACTTTGAAACTCTAAAACTTAGTTGATATCAACCTCCTATCCTCGATAGACTTCGAGGGACCGAAAAAGTTTACTGAGCTCGATTATAAACTGAAATCGACTATAGGTGTCGGGCATGGGGGCATGGCTTGAGGTTCACCCCTCTTGTTTTCTTTCTTTTCATTTTTTGTCTATGTCTAAAACATTTTATCAAATTTCCTCTATTTGTTTCGAAAACCCCTCTTTCAAACTTTCTATGTGAATTTCCAATTTCGCTATTTCATGTGCCGTCACTGCCAATAATCTGTACGGGAGTGGTCTTGTGGCCAGTCTCGCATCTAGATTACAATTTGACAGGGACCCTTTTATCTACCACTGATCGAAAATTTTAAACGGGAAAACAAGGTAGAGGTTACAGTTGCTCTATCAAAATTTGCACATATAAACACAAGGACAGACATTGCATCACTAGGCCTTCTAAACCTAGCGACGTGACCTATGTCATTGACTTAGTTTAGCCTTTGGCTCATGTCCGAGATCTTGCTTAGTCTGACCATGGTAATTGATTGTCTCACCTATTTTGGGTCTAGTTCATGTTTTTTACTTAGAATTTAAGGAAAGTTACAAAAAAAACCCCATGACCACACTTTTTATGCAACTTACCCCCAACCTAACTTTTTCTGTCACTTTTTTCTCCAAAATATACTTTTTATGCAATTATCCCCCAAAACAAATAAAAAAATAAAAAAATGCCTAAACTATCATCCCTTACTTTTACCTTACCCATTCTTCTCTCTCCTCTATCCCACCAAAATAGGGGCTCTAGCACTGTGTAAATGCTGTCCGGCAGTAGGGCTTCGGCATTATGTACAGTGCGGTCCGATAGTAGGGCTTTGGTGTGTAAAGTGTGTCCGACTGTTGCAAAGGGCGGTTCGGCAGTTGCCAAGGGCAGTCTAGCAGTAGATATTATTGGATTCCATGACTCTGGGACTATGTAAAGGGTGGTCTGGCAGTATTCAGTTTTGGTTTGGTAGTTGTCTTAGAGTGGTCCGGCACGTGTACGCTCCGGTAATACGATGGTGCGCTCTGACAATGTGATGATGCGCTCCGATAATGTGTTATTGGGGTCCAAAAGTTAATATCAAATATGGCCAAAATGATTTTTGTATACGGGAAGGGCATTTATGTCTAAAAAAATGAACTTTTTCCTTTGGGGGTATCTGCATAGAAAGTTGTTTTAGGGAAAAAAATGAGAAAGATAGTTAGGTTGGGGGTAAGTTGCATAAAGAGTGTTGTCTTGGATTTTTTTTATAATTTATCCTAAAATCTATATTTATTGGGATGAGCTCAAACTGACAAATGCTTATAAGATGCGATCATTTGAGTAGGTCTTGGCAGATTTGATAGTTTTTAGACTATTGCTTACTCTGTATTAGACTCGTGTTTTCTCTATAATTCAGGTTTACATGTTTATGAAAATTCCATTAGCCAAAATTAAAAAGGTATGTCTATAGGATTTAGTCAATTGTAGAAATGAACTTCCTTCCATTTCGATATCAACCTTTTTCCATTTAGGATATAATGATTTCCATTATGATATAATTATTTCAAGGAAAAAGTTTATATAAGGTTGCAACTTTATAATGTGGAGCGACGGATGCACCTAAAAAAATCATCGAAAAAGGTCGTTTTAATGTTGAAAAGCCCTTTGATTAATTATCTCGACATCCAGATGTATGACCATGAAAAATAAAAAGATTTTAAGAATCAGAAATAGTGCATTTTAAAACATATTATCTACATCATCCATTTTCAAGATTTTATATGTTTATAGATCTACTTGATTTTAATTATTTTTTAAATTTAAAATTTTATAATTAAATATAAAAATAAATTTTGAGATAATCCTAAGAACATTTTACATCAAAATTATATATCATGCTAAAATTTAAAGACACATCTTACCTCTACAGCTACATATGCATCCGTATGCGAATTACACCTTCATTTCAAGTATCCAACATCCATGATTTATGTTTTTCATGGGCGGAGTTGAGTGACTAAGCCCGCAGAAAAATAAACACCGAACCGCAGTTAAATTAAAATAGGGCCATTTTGGATATTCACCGAATACGTAGGGCGTTTTTTAAAATAGCCTTAAAACAAGAAAATATGAGAAGGCCAGGCAATTATTGGGTTGACGCCCTCTCGCACGTACTTCCGTGACACCAACCGACACCGGAAATTACGGAATAAAATGGTAGAAAATGGCTTCAGTGCCCACGTTTAAATAAATGTCTAAAATGCCCCATCCTAGAAAATGACAAAAACACCCTCCCTTTAAGGATAATCAGGGTTGATTTTATAATTTCCTAGCTCAAAAAATTGTGTAAATTTGATGATATGCAAAGAATCGAAAATCTACGATCTTTGAAAAAAATAATAAAAATATGTTGTTTCTACAAATTCATAATCATGATTATCGAGGTTATTGCCCTTTGAAATTTAGATTGAAATTTTAAATACCTATTGTTTCCATAAAATCATAATTGTAACGATTGAGAATATCGGCCTTTAAAATTTAGATTGAAATTCTAGAAATCCATTGTTTCTATAAAATCATGATCATAGTGATCAAGATTATTGACCTTTAAACCAAATGGAAATTCTATATTTAAAATGATTCTTTGGAGGACCACATTGGAATGAATAAATATGCGATGGAAATTCTATATTTAAAATGATTATTTGGAGGACCACATTGGAATGAATAAATATGCCTGAGTATGCACCGAAGTTCCATCAAAATCCCAAACTACCATATTTGGAATTTACATCATTGTATTTTACCCAAGGAAATGACTTGAATGTCCTCTAGACCTGGATTGTTCGGTTATGGTGTCATAACTTGATGTCGAATTAAAATTTAACGTTCATAAAAATAAAAAACTTTAGAAAAAAATTAATTTATAATAAATTTTTCCATATACTTTTTGCAAGTTATCCTTCACAAAAAAAGGACTCTAAGAAAATAATTCGTAAGGAGAGAACCAATTTCAATTTCAGAAAGGGTACACGAGTCATTTAAAGAAAAGACTGAGACTATTTTTGTCATTCTCTAAAACATAGAAAAAGCGTCCTTCAGCGGCGGATAAAGCGTCGATTGTAGTGATAAGACGGGGCAACAATTGTATCTCGCCGGTGATTCGAACCCGAGACCTCGTGGCCCCGCTTTTTTTGTGGGGCTTCAAAATTTTCGGCCCTATATTTCGTCTCCCTATAAATACTCTTCCTATTTAGGGTTTTTCGGCGCTCTTGTCGGAAACCTTACACGGCTCGCTTTTGTCCTGGTGTTCATCTCAAAACCCTAGATATTTGCAGAGTTTTTAAGGTATTTTTCCTCTTTTGCTTTACCATTCTTTCATATCTCTCTTTCTTATCTGATACATTCATTCTAATGGAGTTCTCTTTGTTATGCATGGTGTTCTTCTTCATACGAAATTGGGATTCTTCTCCATGCTAAATTGGGAACAAACTCGTATGATATTTTTACTCGAGTTTTGCGTTGTGCTTGTTTCATAAAAATGGTGAATGCAGGAGGTTTTTTGGTTGATGATGCTGCATTTTCTTTGTTTGTGATAATCAGTTGGTGAATGCTTTGGTAGTTTGATATTTTTCCCTTGCCATTGCCTGCATTTTGTTTAGCCATGAAATTTATAATTTATTGCGCTTCTTTGTGGCGTTTTTTTATATCCTCCTGTATCAGTAACCTCTATCAGTGGATTAAGGATTTTTGAGAAATTTGGACAGATTATTGATTCATTATGTGGTACATTTTTCTTATTTTCCACTTGTGTTTCATTTTCTTATTTTGGTGTAAACTGATCTACTTTTTTATTTTTATTTTTATATTATTATTATTTTATTTTATTTTATGCTGAATGAGTTCACAAGTTTGCTTTTACAATTACATGGGCTGCATTCTCTTTTTGTCTACACTGAATACATGATGTTTCAATTGTTACTTTTTGTTGGTTTTATCAGAATTCTATTTATGTAAATGCATTTAGAAGATTAGCACATTGGAGATCTTAAACTGTACTGTATTCTGTATCATATTGAAAAATGATGCATTTGCTCTGGCGAAATAAGCCATTGTACATTTCTTGTGATGGATTATTGTCATTTTATTGATTTATGTTAATCAACAGCTATGCAAGTTTTTTTTTCATTTACTTTTTTTGTTTATCTATAATGATTTAGCTTATTGCCATGTCCGTTTATTTCCATTAGTTTAATTTTATTTTTCAAAATTTCTTGGTGCTTCAACCTGCTCCTTTTTTATCTGAAAATTAATATTTGAATTTCCCGAAGTTTTGCAGGGATTCTTTGCCCACTACAAAGGTTTCTACTTTCGAGACCAGTACTTTATTTTGTGATTCCTTTACCAAATGCCTTTTCCATTTGTTTATCTCAGTGGATCTGTAAACAAGAGATTTCCAGTTATAGTTGCTTTTCTTTTGTGTAGAGAATTGGTTTAATTCTTTTTTTTGTTGTTTTGAATATTCCAATGTTTCTTATTTGTGAAATTAGCTGTGGTACTTGATAGAGACTAGACCTGCTCTCTTTGAGTCTGAGCATTGGCAAATGATAAAGTAAGGAGTTTCCCAGGGTAAGAAGCATTGGTTTCTTTGTGAAAGGATCATTTTACCCAAATCATCTGGGTCCAATGTTGCTAGATTCATATTGAAAAACAACATGGTCCGGTTATCAACATCAAAACAAGAAAGAGAAAGCCATGGGTATGGGTTACTTATGTTTCTTTAACACCTGTATAGTAATGTGTCTCACAATGGTTTTCTAGGATAGCTCAAACCACAATCAAAGGAATCATTTTCACATATTAGCCAATTAGGTAAGATGGGTCAGCATTAATAGGTCACATAAATAACTTCATTACAGGTTTCAATCGGAATGGGCTGTCTGAAATGAGCTGCTTTTTGATACTTCAGGACTTTTGCTAATAGTCTGGAGTGGACTTTGGGTGCCACAAAAATAATAATTTGCAAAGGAATTAAAAGATGAACACTCTGTTTCTTTTTTTTTGGTAATGCTTCACGATGGTTTTTATTTTTTATTGGTATCAAATTATGAGCTGAAATATTTGGGATAAGGCTCAGATAATGATGATGATCGGTATCAAATACTGCTTTGTATTCAGGTGATTGATCATATACTTAAAATTGGTTGTGACATTCGAATTTATATTTTCTGTTTGCAGTGTTATGGGAAGGGAAATTGATGTTCCGAGTTTCGAAAAACTTGAGCAGTACATGGAACCGAATGGTGTCATACTTGATACTAATGGTCTTTCTTCTGATCAATTTTCCCCAAGAGAAAGTGAACCTGAAGACCCAGATGAGGGGAAGGCCAAAGTCGCATGTAATAATGAGCTTCTATTTGCTCCAAATCCAGAACAATCCATCGAATCAAATGATATTGAAGTCAAAGTCTGCTATACCGATGATGTAATTAAGGTTGTCGATGTTTGTAATGTTAAAAATCGTGATCAGGAGGAACCTGCTGAAGAGATCAAGCCAGAGGTTTCCCTGGTGGAAAACATGGAACTTCCAGCTAAAACACCCGAGAAAAGTCCTGATGCCAAATGTGAATCTAGGAAATCAAAGGATCCCCAAAAGATGAATTCTCCTCTTAAAGGTAATACATTTATTTATTTTGGGGCTGTATTATGCAAAAAATACAATGGAGTGAACCTAGGCCTGGTTGGTCAGGGTTTCATAGCCACAATGTGACATGTTGGGTTCCATTCCTACTTACCAATTTTCAGAATTTCAGCCGAGTTGACTCGAACTCAGCTGAGTGACTGGGCCTCGGCCTATGGTCAATGCGAGGCCCAGTGCCAACTCACCCTTATTAAGAACTCTAATCATAAATTTTATAAAAAATCAATATTTTATATGATTTAGAAATTTGTTTGTATATGATTTTTATGATGATTTGGGAAGTTTTCTTAGTACATGACCTAATTTGTTTTTTCCGTTTTTGTTTTTCTGAAATATTTCAGAGTATAAATCTATTTTTTTAATAATCTATCTTTTATATACTTTTTTCATCTTTTATAGACTTTTGATTTCTAATATATATTTTAGTTTATGCTTATTTTAATTATGGTATAATTTTTTTTACATTTTCTTTTGTATGTTTGGGCAATTTGCCGAGGCCCAAACCAAGTTTCAGAACATTTCTACCTACTATTCACTGGTTAACCTATAAAAAATGAAGAAGCAAAAAACAGCAATGGAGAAGTCTGGAGATGGTGATTTTTTCCGTATCTTATCAATTGGTTATGTTGTTGTGCACTTTTTAGTCAATGCTGGAAATGGAAGATCCAACTGCACTGTTCCCCAACCATTTACCTTGGCAACTGACAAACGTGCTCTGAATGGTACTCGGCCAGGACCTGAAATTTCTCCTGTATCTGCAAATAGACATGCAAATGCAACCAGTCCAGTAATTCTGAAGAAGTTCCAGGTATAAATTAATTCCACGATAATTATCTCTTATGTGGACGTCTTTCTTTCAATAATCAAACGAACCATTTTTGAGTTGAATCTTATGGTATATTCTCAGTGTAGGTTCTGTGATTTTACTAATTTTAAATCTTTATTGACTTGGAAAGCCATTCTGCCATGCTTGTTATTAAGACATGATTTATATAAACTTAAGAAGTGGTCTGCCGATTTTTAAGCCCACAGGGAGAGTTCTTGATTATTATCTGTATCTCTTTGGAATGCATATTGTTCAAATGGTATTTGCACTTGGCAATTGTGATGCAGCCATCAACAGGGGCTTCCTCACCTTCTTCACTAAGGAAGCAATTTCATTCAGAGAATATGAAGCCTTATGATGAAGAAGACGCCTGCTCAGTGGCATCTTCGTATCCTTGATTCACCCACATTGCTTCCTTATTGTTTACTACAATTTCCAAAATTTGTATTCTGGTTTTTATACTTGTTGGACTCTTCTTAACATGATACAGGACTGCAGTATCAGTTCGTACAATGAAAATTCGGGCAAGTGCTCCCAAGTTTAGATGCAGTGAGCGTGCAGAAAAGCGAAAAGAGGTGAGTTTGCATTTATAAGTTTTGTCGAGTTCATCTATTTTACATGCTGAAATTAAGATGTGGCAATGCCTTGTTAGTTTTACTCCAAATTAGAAGAAAAGCACCATGCTCAGGAGGCTGAAAAAAGTCAAGTTGAAGCCAAGTGCAAGGTATTTAGCATAACTTTTGTATTTGGGATTGCCTATTCATAAATTGCCAGTCTCTTTGTTTGTGTTTTCCATGTCATTTTAACTGAAACTAGTAATCTTTGTTTCGCAAGGGAAGAATTATGACCTCACTTATGATGCTACATTTGGTTAATTTCCTTTTAAAATTTGAAAAGAACATACAATAAGAACCAAATTAGCAATTGACTATGCAATAATTGATGTGAGGATGACGAAATATGGGTTAGAATCTGAAACCAGTGTGGTAAATTTAACTGGAACTTTCTGTTCAGGAGGAACAAGAGGCTGCCCTCAAGCTACTCAGAAAGAGCATGACATTCAAAGCATCGCCTATGCCAAGCTTTTATCATGAGGGACCACCCCCAAAAGTTGAACTTAAGAAGGTATTTTTATGGCTTTGTTGTTGTGCATCATAAAATCTTCTTTTAAGCTTGTTTTCTTGCAGTAATTGTAAGAACTCTGGCATTTGTTATGTGATTTAAATTGATGTGGAGCTTTCCTGTAATTTATTTAACTAAAGGGCCCATCTTTTCGGGAAATGGTCCTTGCTGCAATTAATTAGATCCTACAATAGTTGACTTCCAAATCCACCCATCTTCGCCAAATGTCAATAAGCAACTTTCCAGCACCTGTTTGCGGTCTTGTTTGATGGGATATTTGTTATAATGGGCAAAATGAACCGGCACTATTGTGGTCTAGGATTGCTGGTATATTGTGATATTCAACATATCATTTTCATCATTGCATTTTGATGAAATCATAGGAAAGAATTTTTACTATTTTATACATGCTGATAGTTTTTGGTGCTAGTGTATTACTATTTATTCAATTACTGCAGTCATGCACGCATGGTTTCTTCCTTGTAGGCTTAAAATTCTGAGTCCATTATTTCATGCAGCCTCCTCCAACGCGTGCTAAGTCACCCAAGCTTGGAAGGCGTAAAAGCTGCGATGGTCATAGCGATTTATCTCATTGTGATCCCAAAGGACCTTGTGAGCGAGGTGGTCGATATAGTCTTGGTAATCAGAGAAGCAATGGAGCTTTGCTAGAGGTCAGCAAAGACCGGATCAGCAACTCCAACATTAACATTGCTGCTAAACTCAGGGATGGAGGAGCTAAAACAGCGAGGGATAGCATGAAATCTCTCTCTTTGAAGAGGACAGTGAAAGGAAATGTTGATATTGCAGGTGCAAAGGATGTCACTGTGCGGTCATGAAACATGACCCTGGACTAATGATTTTATGGAGGTTGGCGCTTTTGTCATTTGCTGGTTTCCTTTGTATTATTGGCTGAAGTTTCTCTGGCTTCTGTGCTTAACTTTTGATGGGCTTTTGGCAGTGGATTGTGTGACATATATATAAGATGTAAATCATGTATAATTTATACAAACGAGTTTAGTCTGTTTTGCTTACATTTTCATTTTGGGGATTAATTTTAAGTAACATTTTTTTTAAAATAAATGTGTTTATGCAAAGTTGCGTTGTGGAAGAGGTTGCTGAACATTGGACCTTAAAATAAGCCAAGAAGGTTTCCAAAGAATAGGAGGGAAGAAAACTCATCAATTCGATATAATCACTTTTTACAATGTAATCGTTAAAGAAATTAGAAGCCCCAAACTGATGCGGTATGAAACTTGTTCTCCGTGTTTGAGAAGTTCGCCTTTATCTCTTGCATGAGTCTGAAACATAGGGGTGGCAGCCAGCCCGGTCTGGTCCCCCTACTAGGGCCTAGCTCACAAGATGTGACCTGAGGGTCGGGCCCTCATTAGGCCCAGCCTAGGCAAAGCCTGGGGTCTTGCTCTTTTTTATTTTAATTTTTTTTGTTCTTTAACTTTATCTAGCCTGGCTCGGCCCTGACAGGGCCAAGACCTCTTTGGCCAAGATAAGACCAGGTTGGGCTCGCCGGTCCTTGGCCGGTCCTTAGGGGAACATGGCCAGGCTAGGGCTAGGGCCAGCGTTGGCCTGGCTTGGCCCATTTCAACCCTAACTGAAAGTTGCATTTACTTTTGAGTCATTTCCTTATTTGTGCCAAAAAGAGATGTAGGCTATGTGGAGAAGGCTTGGTCTCGGTCCAAGAATGGAATATATATATATATATATATATATATATATAGAAATTACTTGTCAAT